GTTTGTTGCTTCTGCACCTTAGTGTCTCAGTGGCTGTCCTCGAGATCTGGCAGTCAGGGTCACCAGAAAGAGATTCAGTGTCGAATTCAAGATTGTAGTGGGGCGTCGACGAACCGAGGCACGGAATCGCTGCTTGATTCAGGTGTAGATGACGAACCATTTGACACACCAGCCACATCGATCTATTTTGGGTTCGTCGTTGGTGTGGCGGTGTCAAGATGGAAGGATGGATTACATAAGGCACCCAAGGGAATGGGACGACGGGTCACGGACACGACGCGCTTCGATGGTGTCTGCGCACCAAGCCAAGGGGATCCTGTCGATGCAGGTGCCATGTCAAACCTCGGGGTCGCCTGATATCCATCCTCAAGGTGTGCGCGTTCACTGTTCCCTTCTCCACCGGCGGCGCGATCGAGCATTTAGCAGCGCAACAGCTCGATGATCCATGATCGACAGGGTCTCATCCAGATGGGCGCCGACGCCTGACCGAACTCTCGACATCAGGAACCAACCTCATCCAGCCGGAGCCTGCCCCAGGCATTGACATCTGAAAGTTGGCATCCCGACGGTTCTTATGACCTGCCAACAATGTCGTACCCGGGCCAAATGCCCACGGGCAACCCGGTTACAGCAGCCAGCAGTATCAGTATCCGAACGGCCAGCAACAGGCCCCGCAACAGGCATATGTGCAGCAACACCAACAACAAGCGCCACCACTGCATGGCCACGTTCAACAGCAGCAACATGGGCTGCAGGTGCCACAGTACCAGCAGTACCAACAATATACACAGCAACAGCCTCAGCACCACCAGCGGCCTCAGCACCATCAGCAGCACCATCAGCAGCCACAGCAGCAGCAGCAGTTCCAGGGCTATCAGCATCATGGACAAATGCCCCAAGGCCACTATGCCCACCTCTCTACACCCGCGCCGTCGATGAACTATGTCAACGTTCTGGCAAATAACAACGGCCAATTTTCGACGACATTCGACAATACCTTCGACCCACGACAAGAACAGCGCCCTCCTTCCATATCCCCGGCACCTTCGCCATACCCCGCCGCCCAACCCTACCAGGTTGCTCCTGCGCAACTCCAAGCGATTACTCCTACTCCGCCTCGAGCCTACTCGTCACCATCGCCAGCGCCGGTTCCCCAACAGATCCCACAGTTTCAGGTTCCTCAAACCGGCTCAAGAATAATGGGACAGCAGGATATCATGCCCATCACCGCCCAACAAAGCCATGTGTCGCTGCAACGCCCAGCACCGATGTCGCTTGCCAACGAGTTTCACCGGTTCAACAGAGCCCAATCCGGCTTTGCCAAACAGCCCTCCTACGAACGGCGACAATTTCGGCAATGAACTCGCCCGGCATCAGAAAGAAGGTCTCCAGCAATCTCACCACGCCCGTCCCCTGCTTCCTCGGCCCGCGCTTCCCCAGCTATGACTCCGAAGACAAGGCCGTTCGAGTCTGCGACCGTACTGGTTCATGTCGCCGAAGAGTGTTTGAGCAAAGCATATTCCGCTGTTCATAGTGTTGCCGCTTCAACAGATGAGGGCCGAATGCGAGAGTATCAGAAACTTATCTCCACAGGCTTAGCCTGCTTGGACGCCGCTGTGCAGACGAACAAACTTGCGCCACGCCAAGAAGCGAAGGCGAGACTCAGATATGCATCAATATTGTACGAGGAGACGGAAAATCTGCAGGAGGCAGAAACCACTTTGTTTCAAGGAATAAAGCTCTGTGAGAAGGTTCGTATTCGAAATTTGATGGCCCAGCGAGTCGATATTGACACTTCAACAGCATCGTTATACAGATCTGAAATACTGTATGCAGTATGCTGCGTTGAAAGTCCTGTTCCAGAGGAACCACAAGGCAGCCTTTATTGCAATTGACAAGCAGATTGCAGAGTGTCAAACGTAAGTCCCAATCGGATTGTAGGTTCTGGTACATTGCTAAGACCTTGTAGATTCAAGCACTACCCCTGGTTGTATGCTTTTCGACTTCTCAAGACGACGTTGCAAACGTATGCCGGCAACGCGCCCGATGCCAACCATTTCGACAACCTTCAAATGCTGGGAACCTTCGCTTACGAGAGGGGTGACAACGCTATTGGAGTGTTGGCCTCATTACTCGAGGGCCTCGCTCATCTGCGAGTTATGAAGTCTGACAGTGTCGAAAGGGTTCAGACATGTCTTGCGCAAGCAGCCATGTATCAGTTGGATCCTACTGTCAAGGTACCCCAACTCGATATCTTGACACTGCTGCTGGACCTCGCTTGCAGTATGCATCAGAAGAATCCAGACACTCTGGTGCAGAAATTGTCCGCACTAGAGTCAAGGTTAGACCAAACGATCAGCTCTCAGGACTGGACAGATGACGCCACAGAGGTCTGTGTTCCTATGAAGAAGCAGCCCTCATCTTCCCTCATCGTCAGCGAGGACACAACTGCGATTCTCCGTCCCGGGAAAGATGACGAGGGAACTGATCTAGTGGTTCTATCGTTCCTGTCGAAACAAGAACTCTTCGCATTGGTGTAAGGACTCAGCCATTTTACACATTGATGACTAAAGCTAACGAGACACAGCCACGCTTTTGGGGGGCTTGCGAACATGTATAGGCCCGCATCGCGAGAGCAAGTAGGCAAGATGAAGAGCCTCCAGCGATGGGCGGCCGGGCTGGAGACCGTGCAACATGGTATGTCAACCGTATACTTCCAGCCAAGATGTTGGTTCTGACCTTACTAGTCTCTACGCAACACATGTTGGGAAACCGCGCCTTGACGACCGTTTCGCTGCATGAATCCATCAGACAGACCAAGTGGCGAACAGAGATCTTCTGTTACTTGCAGCTGCTGATTGGTCTGTACAATGCGACTCAGAGCAAATGGAAGCTCGTAGACCAAAGTGTCTCGAAACTCCAGAAAGCGGCCACGCCTGCGGTCAATGAGATTTTTACACTCTTCACACTATATCTGACAGGTGTCTATTATCAAGGCACCGGCGAGTTCGAAACAGCACTCACCATCTATGAGGATCCGCGGTTGCAGATCCCCTCTGGACCGGATGGTCCTGAGAGTAGAAAGCCAGCAGAGCTAGAAGTCTGCATACTGGCCGCGATGAGTCGGCTATGGATCCTCCAAGACCCGGGGTTCCAAGATGAGCAGACCACAAATAAACTCTTGGAAAGCATACAACCGCTATGCACGACACATCCCGACTCGGAGTTCCGCACTGCCTTCAGTCTCGTCCAGGTCACGACTCAGCCAGACCTGGAGATGAACATTGTGAAACAGAACATCCAATCCGCGCTTAACGGAGCGCAAAGGACGAACAACACTCACTGCCTCGCAATAGCGTTGACGATCATGCGTTGTCGTCTCTTCGAGAACGTGGTGGTGAGCAAGCGTTGAAGAGCGCCAAGGCAGCCTCGCAGCAGGCTAAGCGCAGCGCCAACCTCCTCTGGATGAGCGTGGCGACGGCATGCTCGCCAATTCGTACGAGGTGCAGGGGCAGCTTGCGAAGCACGAGTGGCGCAGGCTGCGGCGCAAGAGAACGCCAGTCGCGCCGCGCGAGCGTTCGAGTGAATTGTAAGACTATTATTTTACACCATGGTGTTGTGGGGGAGTGGCATCAAAACCTGGCGCATGGAAATCTTGATTTGACGATTTGTCAACTTGCAAATACCCCCTTGCTCCGGGAAGAGCAGTGTTTTGGCGGAAGAATATGGCTGGATGAAGGACCGGTGGTGGAGCTGCGGTCGTGACGGGAATACGCCAGTGTCTGGTGCTATTGTAACTACGAGATCTCTGATGACTCATTATCAGCGCTGCATACACATCCAGCATACCATGGCTGCATGGAGCCTTGATGTGCGAGGGCCTCCTTGTTTCAATCTCTTCGATCCTATCGTGCCGCAGTTGTATTGAAGCCAGAGACACGTCGGGGGCAGCCTCCAGCTATAGGGTGGGACATCCAGTAGCCGAGGAGGCGTGGGCTCGTTCGGATCCGTTTACCGGTATTTGACACCAAACATCAATCGTCGAATAGGCGAATCGCAGCTTATAACATAAATCAAGTCAGTAGTAATCTTATACTTACAAGACCAGCTCGAAGACAGGTATAGCAGGATCTCGATACACGGATACGACTCCTCCGCAAGGCTGCCCTACGCTCGCGCAAGCAGAGCAAACCCACGGCTGGATGCTGTCACACCTCGTTTGAGGAAAGCGCGGTGATGATGGCTTGCATCATCAGTGTGCCGTGTCATTCAGGGTCCTCAGCTGCCAAGACGCGGCGTTCAGCGCCCGCCCCCCAACCTGACTCTTGTAGCATCAAGGCCCCTGGTCTTGCCGCACATGGCGTCCACTGGCGAACTCCGCAGGCGTCGTTGACTAGGTATACGAGGCATCAAACGTGACCTTGCTTGAAGCTGTACTGGTGACTATTTTGTGGCGCCAAGCATAGAGGGCGCCGGCGGCATTCAGCCTCAGCCTTTCGGGCTGGGTAGGAAGCGGTGCCGACCACCGTGAATCGAGGTACAAATGGCTCAGTTCGCATGTGTGCAGAGGAGAGACTTGTACGACTGTCGCAACATGAAATAAAAGCAACGCAAACGCTGCTCTCCTGTGAACAGGTATCCAATCGTTGCCCTGACCCTCTGTTTGCCTTCGGCTCTCTTAAAACCCAACCGCAAGCCCCGAGGGGCGCGACAATAGCAAGCAACATGACTACCACGGCGCCCTCAATGTCTAGTCCTACGAGCATTATCTGCGATTATTGCCTCGAGTCGAACCTTGAGTTCTACGAACCGTCCAAAGACTGCGAGGCTGCGGCCCG